GGTAGTAGTAGTAGTAGTAGTAGTAGTAGTAGTAGTAGTAGTTGTCGTAGCAGTAGTCGTAGTAGTAGTAGCAGTAGTAGTAGTAGTAGTAGTAGTAGTAGTAGTAGTAGTAGTAGTAGTAGTAGCAGACCAGAACCATGGGTACTGGTACTGCTATCAGAGACGATTGGATCTGTCAGCGTTAAGTTTCCGTCGGCTCCAGGCAGCCCGAGAGGCTTCTAAAGTGGCCCACCGACGGCCCAAAAGTGTTTCGAAATGGCCCAAAGAGGCCTCCACGACGGCCTCAAAACGGCCCTGGAGGGACCGAATTGGGTTTCATTTTTTCGGAAGTGTCAGGATACCGTATAGAGGCCGTGACAAGGTCTGCAGACACAACAAAGCTCTACACCCTCCTCAAGAAGCTCCACAACTGCTCAAGAACACTTTCGGGCATCCCCAGAAGCTTTATAGACGCCGCAAACAGCTCTGCAGAGGCCCCAAGAAGCTCATCAACCCACCTCAAGGAGCCCCTCAGCCCCCGAAGAAGACCTTCAGGCCCCTTTCCAGGAACATTTCCAGATGTTTTTCGTGGCTCGTCGTACATGGTTTGGATCAGCTATGAGGGGGTATGGGTGTCTTTCTGCAGGCCATCGCTCCAAGAGAAATTTCCAAATGCCCGAGTAGCCTCGTCGTAGTTGTTACCCGCTGTGATAGGGGGGTCTGTGTCTTCTTTCCGGAGGCTAGCACCCCTGGCCATACAAATACGCACCGGGCCACGCAAGCACCCAAGGGTCCACACTAACACCTTCTCTCCCGTTCCTCCCCCCCCGTTGCGGCGGTGTGGCGGCCTCATCCCTTCCCTGTCCCAGAAAGCAGAACATGTGATCGGCCAGAAGAAGCACCCCGACCCTTGGCCCCCTACAACTGCTGATGTGGGTCTCTCAGGTGGCGGCCCCAGAGCTCCCGACCTCTGTCTGGGGTGCAGATGTGGCTCTCTCCGCGCGCGGGTTTTTTTCCCGCGTCTGACGGTCGCGGCGGCGGCGGCGGCGACGGGATCGCCGGCGGCGGCGGCGGACTGGACGCGCCACGCTCCGCGCCTTGTGTGCCTTTTGGGGCCCGGCGGGTTCGACCAGATGCAGATGAGGCAGAGGCTGCGGGAGGAGAAGGGCGGCCAGAGGAGGGCCGAGGAGGCCGAGAGGGACAAGTGGAAGCAGGCACCGCCCGGCCGTCGTGCAGGGGAGGGGGGAGGGGGGTGACGCAGACTCGGGCCTGAGGTTGCTGCTGCCGTCTTCGTTCGTAGGTCTTCGTAGGGTCGGGAGCGCACACGAGGGGGGCGCTCGGGTATTGAGAGCACCCACCCAGACAAGTCGGCTGAGAACATCTGCGCTGGTGCCCACGACATTTGCATTCGAGAGTGCCAGTGCAGTCCTCAGTCGGTTTCGCAAATCGGCGTGTGTCTCGCTGGATACATCCGGTTGTTCTTGTACGTCGACTAGCTACCCTGCTGGGGTTTACGCGGATCACAGTGCCGTGTGAACGTGGTTTGCCCCTGGCAGCTTTTTCCCCTCTCCTCCTGGTGCCGCATCACTGGCGACCCGGGGTTGGGGGATCGATGGCGCGCAGGCCGAAGAAGAAAGGGCGGCATGAAGCCATAAACTCTCGGAGGTCTGCGCTGGTTGCCTCAATCGGCAAGGGAGGGCCCCCTTCGTCGTTGTCCTCCTCCTCCTCCTCCTCCTCCTCCTCCTCCTCCTCCTCCTCCTCCTCCTTCTCTCCCCTTTCTCGAGGGGCAAAAAGCGGCATACACATACCGTATCGACCACCCTTTGGGTGATAAGGAGTTTGTGTGCGGGGGGAGTTCAGCTTTCGGTGTGCGACTAGGGTCAGATGGGACTCGGCGAAACCATTTGGGCACGACGGAGCACCTCTTTGGCACCACGGGTCACCACGGGACACCGCGCCACGGGACACCACGGGACACCGGCAGGACACCCCCGAGCTTGCGCTGGCCAACCAGCGGGCGTAGAGTCATTGAGTTCAGTTTCGCCCTAGCCACGGCGGGCTCGCGTCTCTCGCCCGCCCACCCAGCTCCGCCTCGCCCACGCGCACGACGCGAACACGACCCCGAAACCGCTTTCCCAGTGGGGGGTCTCTGTTTTCATTTCGAACTCACCTCCCAGCTCCGAGGCGGAAACTTATACATGACCACCGCCCGGAGGGTCAGTTTTCGGAGCCTCGGCAGGCGGTGGATATGGACATGTTTGGGCCCCCGGGGGCCAAAATACATCCACATCCACCGCCCGCTGGGGCACCAGGACGTCGGTTCCCAGGCGGTGGATCTGGATAAATCCCCGCCTCGCACCGGCCTCCGACGTTTTCGAAGGTCCGCGCGGTTTCCTGGGTCGGCACTGGGCCCCCCCTTCTAGGCGCGCGGGGCGCGCCGGCCTCACGAAGAGTCCGCGCGGACCTTCGAAGAGCTTGTGCGTTGGTGTCTTTTTGCTCTTGCTCGGGGTGCAGTGAGGTTCGGCCCCGGGTGGGGTTCACTGAGGAGCGAACCGAGCCTGCGAGGCCGATGATCTCCCTCCTCCGGTCGGCGGCGAGCCCGCGGGGGGGAAGAGAGAAGGGGCGGGCCTGCTCAGAAGGCCTGGACGTCCCCTGGCTTTCAGAGGAGTTTCCTAAGCCTTCGCCGAAGACATGAGACCCTTCTCAGGAGGCCAGACGGCTTCTGAGAAGTCCCGCCGCCTTCTGAGAGAGCCTTCTCCTTCTCACCTCCATCCCTCGCTCGCCGCCGACTTGGGCCCCGCTCGCGAGCCTAGTCGAGGTGGTCGCGCGGTGGCCCCGCCGCTGCTGCCACATCCGCCACAACGCCACCTGCTTCCTCCCATGATGGGCGAATTCCCTCCCTACCTTAGGTAGGACGGGGGAGAAGGGAGTATGGGGAGGTCTTTCTACTCCTCCCCCTCCTCCTCCTCCTCCTCCTCCTCCTCCTCCTCCTCCTCCTCTCCCTCTCCCTCCCTCCCTCCCTCTCTCCCTCCCTCCCTCCTCCTTCCCTCCCTCCCTCCCTCCCTCCCTCCCTCCCTCCCTCTCCTACCTGCGGTAGTGTTGGTGGGAATCGTCCATCTTCTCTTCAGCCTGCATCAAGGGCAACGTTAGGCGGGGATAGGCTCAGGGGGGATAGGTTCGAGGATCGAGGTCTTCGGGCGTTTCCGGGCGTTTCCGGGGGTTCCTGGCGGCGTTCCAGCCTCGGGCCTCGGGATGCATTCCAGCAGCTACGCCTCGCCGAGGGCGTTCCCGGGGTGCCCGGATCCTCCCGAACGGCCGCCATAGAGCCGAGTTACGACCCCAGACATGCTCGCGTCGTGAAAAAATCCGGACGGGCGGCTTTTCTCTATCTTCGGCCCCTGGGGGCCCTCGCCGGCCCCCGGGACCGTCAACAATTGACTCAGGAAAGACTGGCCCCGGGGAAAGGGTCTGGATTTCTGGGTACGCCGTCGTGAAAGCATCGGGGCGCCGCGCGTCATGGGACCAGAATCGCACCCGGGGCCACGTTCGTATAGGCGGGGATACGCTCGGGCGGGACGCCTCGGCCCCCAACCACACGGGCCCGACATAGCGCGCCCAGCCCAGGAACGGGCGGGCTCGCTCTCGGCGCCCAGCGCCGATCCATCGGCGAGGCATCGCCGACTCGAGGAGGAGGAGGAGGAGGAGGAGGAGGAGGAGGAGGAGGAGGAGGAGGAGGAGGAGGAGGAGGAGGAGGGGGAGGAGGGGGCTCAAGGTCGATGCCTGCGCCCTTGGGCCGCCCCCCCCCCCCCCCTTTTGCGTTCCCCCTCCGGGCGGCAGCAAGGGGCCAGGAGGCTGCCGTGGGAGGGAGGGGGCCCCGTGCGCTCTAGCGACGTACCATCCTGGAGCAGATATCCCTATATAGGGATGTGTTCCAGGGATGCCCTTATGATGCAGAGGGGGAAAAGGTACCCCTATCTCTACCCTCCCCTCGTTTTTCCATTTTCGGGCCTCGGAGGCGCTCGTCGCCACCGTTGGGTTCGTCTCGAAATCCTGATCAGAACGCAACCCGGGAGAGGTCCCGGGAGAGGTCCGGGGAGTAGCGGTATCGGTACCTGTTGTCTCCCCAGTGATAGGGATGCCCATCATTGGGATGTCCCGATGATGGGCATGGCCTTATCTCGGAGGCGACAAGAGGGGCGAATAGCCCAGGGGCGGGCATGACACGTATTTATTAGCCCGTCAGCCTCGCCGAAGGCAGGGACCATCGGCTCCCTTTGGTACATGAACTGCTCAAACGACTTACCATTAAGGTGGGCATGCCCCTCTACATGAGGAATACCCCAAACTAGTAACAACATAGTCTGGGGACGATTGCCATATCATTTTGTTTGATAGTCTTGGAGTAACATTTGACACATATTTGATATTTGTCCAGAAAGATACGCCTGTATGAGGACATGCAAGCCTACCATCCTGCAGCATATCCCAATCCCAATGATGGGCCTCATCTTATCTCGGAGGCGACGATAGGGGCGAATAGCCCGGGGGCGGGCATTACACGTGTTCGCCCGGGAGCCTCGCCGAAGCCATGGGGCATCGGCGCCTTCTGGTACATGTTTTGCCCCCCCCCCCTGGGCGATCCGCGGTTGTCAAGGATTCCGTCAGTTTTGAGGATGCATCCTTCAGATTGTCGTTGCAGTTTGGCTTGCCAATCTTAGGGACAGGGAGAAGATTCGAGGCTGGTAAACGGCGGCAACCTGCGTACGACGGCGGCGACCATTCACGTCTTGCGACCAACGACGACCTACAATGACGTCGACTGACGACGACTTGCCACGAAGACGGCCTACGACGACGACGACGAGGACGACGACGACGACGACGACGACGACGACGACGACGTCCGCGGCTGCAGCCTTGGACCTGCGGCGAGCAGTCTGCGCACGACGAGTACGCCCCACGACGACGATTTGCGCTGACGAAGGCGATGCTCCGCCGCCGTCGTATCGTCATCGTCTCGGGCCCATCCCTGGAGCACCTTAGGGCAGGCTTCTCGAGCTGCGTCCGGCCGCGGCGACGAGACTCCCAAGAACCGTCCCGAACCTCCTGGCCGAAGATCCAGAGATCCGCTGTGCTGCTGTTTGTTCAGGTGCGGGGCCCCCAGCAGTCTGCACCCTCACCCCGGGGCCAGTGTTTCATTTCGGGTTGTGTGAAGCCCTCGGGGCCTGGCGAGGGCCCCCAGGGGCTGAAGACGGATGCCAAACTGATCCGCACTGTTGTATCTGCACGTTGGAGGTCTGCGTCCGGATCGAATCGAGTCGAGGGGATCAGCCACGCGCGGAGGGGGGTAGGGGGAGGGGGGAAGGCTTAGAAGGGGGCTGCTTCTTAGAAGGCGCGGGTCTTGTCTGTAGATGTAGGGCCGGCGCCTACCTCCTTCAGAGAAGCCTCCCCCCTCCCCCTACCCCTTTGTGCGCGCCCCCAGAAACTCGTCGAGTCGAAGTCGAAACGAATCGAAACCGAACTGATTTTTCCCCATATCCTAAGATGGGGTTCTTGTTATTACTTGGACGCCTCCTACTCCCTCTCCTCCTTCCTCCTCCCCTCCCCTTCCTCATACTCGGACTTACTCATACTCAGACTTACTCATACTCAGATCTACTCATACTCAGACTTACTCACACTCAGACCTACTCATACACAGACTTACTCATACACAGACTTACTCACACCCAGACGTACTCATACACAGACTTACTCATACCCAGACTTACTCATACACAGTATTACTCATACTCAGACTTACTCATACCCAGATTGTGAGGATGTCTCAGGCGGGGCGCTGGTTTCAGCACCCCTAAGGGGCATTTTGTGGGGATGTCTCAGGCGGTTTGCTTGTTTCTGGGCCCAACATCCTTCGCTTGGAGAGCAGATTGTGAGGATGTCTCAGGCGGGGCGCTGGTTTCAGCACCCCTAAGGGGAGCCGCCAGGGGTGGTTGCACGGGCTCGTTCGCGGCCATTTTGTGGGGATGTCTCAGGCGGTTTGCTTGTTTCTGGGCCCAACATCCTTCGCTTGGAGAGCAGATTGTGAGGATGTCTCAGGCGGGGCGCTGGTTTCAGCACCCCTAAGGGGAGCCGCCAGGGGTGGTTGCACGGGCTCGTTCGCGGCCATTTTGTGGGGATGTCTCAGGCGGTTTGCTTGTTTCTGGGCCCAACATCCTTCGCTTGGAGAGCAGATTGTGAGGATGTCTCAGGCGGGGCGCTGGTTTCAGCACCCCTAAGGGGAGCCGCCAGGGGTGGTTGCACGGGCTCGTTCGCGGCCATTTTGTGGGGATGTCTCAGGCGGTTTGCTTGTTTCTGGGCCCAACATCCTTCGCTCTTACATATCCCACTGCCAACTATCCTACAACATATGCACATGTGGGAAGCTCCAAAGCTACCACGGGCTGAAAAGGGGAAGGCCTGGCAGCTGAGGAGGGGGGATGAAGAGGAAGAGGCTCGCATTCAACCATACTCAAAGCTCACTCTGACTCATACGCAATCACTCGCATTAGGGGTCACTCGTCTTCGTCGGCACTGTCGCCCACGTGGACGCGCTATTGTAGTCGACCGCTCATGAACAGACGCTCACCACGGCATGACATAAAACATGAAATGCACATATGGGGAGCTCCACGCAGTGAGTAATTGCTCAAGCCTTCGGATCGAAGCTTCCGTCGCCGTCTCCCAGCGGAGGCGCGCAGCCTCTACGAGAAGATGAGCCTGGAGGGCCGGCTGCGGGAGCGGGAACGAGCGAACCAGGAGCGTTGCCCTCTCCCCAGTCCCCGCGTTCCTGGGCGGGGTGGGGCTATCGGGCCCCCATCGGCGATCTAGCGCGGAGCCCATCCCCCCCCCCTGGACGTTGTGCCTGATCGCCTGCGGGCAGGAGGGCGTGGACACAGCCCCGGGACCCAGGATGGCCCTGGCCCAGGCAGAAGGCGGTGGTGCACGAGAGGTGCCCTCTCGTGCGCCCTGCTCTTTCCCACGGGGGTGCTGGCCACCATCTGGGGCGGCCCGTCCGCAGTGGCGGTCAGCGGGTCTTACGCAAGAGGAGCAAGCGGAGCGGCGCAAGCACCACCTCTCGGAGGTCCGCGCGGATTCTCGGATCGGCGGTGGACCCCCCTGGCGGCGCCTTTGGCGCGACCCCGTGGCGCACTCTTCGCGCCAGAGAGGGCCTGCTGCAGCAGAAGAGGAGCAAGCGGAGCGGCGCAAGCACCACCTCTCGGAGGTCCGCGCGGATTCTCGGATCGGCGGTGGACCCCCCTGGCGGCGCCTTTGGCGCGACCCCGTGGCGCACTCTTCGCGCCAGAGAGGGCCTGCTGCAGCAGCGGGAGCGGGCGCGCCAGGAGTGGTGTCTGCCGGTTGAGCGACGCGCCGAAAACCGAGGCCGACTGCGCGGACATTCGCGCGCAAGCTGCCTGCGCAGGACAGCGCGTGGCACGTGGGCGCTCTCGTTTTCGATGCAGCGTGCCGCCCTGGCGGCCC